GTTCCATGGCTGCCAGCTGGCTGCCTTTGGAGGTGTATGAAAAGCATACCCTCTCAGTGATTAAGCAGATAGAAGGCAAAGGAACTTACTTACACAAGCATAACGAGAAAAACTGGCTACCTTGATGTACAGACTTGTCAAAAGGAAACTTTTAATGGTATTAAGCTACTGGGAGAAATCTTAGCAGCTCTTCCCCTTTGTTCAAGATACCAAGTCCTTTTCACGTAACAGATGAGACTAAGATTTTATAAGCAATGTTTTTTGCTTATAGTGCTAGGTATGCATGCTAAGTTAGCAACCCTACCAACTGAGCTACATCCTTAGCCCTCTTCAAAGAAATTCCTGCATTTAGAAAACTACCTAAACACTGTACCAATGTTTCTAAAGATGCATGGTGTTTTGGATGCACAGAACAGCCTAGGAGCACATAGTAATTCATCAATTTCCATCTTTAAGACGGTGATCTGTTAAGAACTAGAATTCTAGAATGTGAGATTCTTGAATTATTTCTAAGCAGTGTTTAAAGGATCAATAAAAACTTGGATGTGCTCTTTATTTTGGTATTTCTGTGTGTATGGGGGAGGGGATGGACAGCCACACTTTCAGGTCACTTTGGCTTGAGAAGATGCAGCACATGCATGCTGTCCAGGTTTTATTCTACCTTGTGTACAGTTTTCCATTCATGTGCGATTTGAGAACTCTTCTGCACATATATATACATACATGTACATCTAGTCACATATATATGAATACATATACATACACAATTTCCACAAGTTCAAGAATTGTATACACACCAATGTACTATAACCCACAATAGATACATTTGGTTCAAACTTTTTAATAACAGAACCTTTAGAGATATATAATGTTTACCCTGGCGGCTTGCCAGTGTCTCTCCGGAGGGGCAGCAAGCTTCAAGTAATATGACATGCACTTTATCCAGCACCAGTCACCGACATCTACCTAGCATGGATTAGCTGCTGCTCCTCCTCTGCCAAACCCTGGCAGTTAGTACTGCAGAAACAGAGAGAGGAGTGTGTTGTGTTTCAGGTTAACTAGTTTGATTCAGCATTGAGCACCAGCTACAGATACTTTTCCCCCAAGTCTCTTCAAAATAAAGACAACTCATTTAGGTATTAAATGTACCATGGACACTTCTAAAATGATACTGTCCATAAAATGGGTTAAGCTATTAGTCCCACTTTAAAGGTACTAAGTGCTTTGTGACAATATATAATATCCTATACACTTAAAAATGTGGGAGACTAAGAAGCTTTCAGAGAATAAATTTAGCTTAATTAATGGAAAATTTGGTAACATTCTCCATTCTACTAAGAGAGAAATCACAGGCTGAGAATGCTGTATCAATTAGCTGTCATCAAGGAATAGACAGGCATCCCATTCCAGACACACAAACAATCACACACACACAATCAGACCCTTTACAGCAAACACTCCTCTTATGTGCACACAAACATCACTTTTTTTTATGGACAAGGTACTTAAACAACTCCCTTGAAGATACTATACTACAATAATGTGCATATAATTTTTGCATCTGGTTTTCTTAGATATTTTGCCTAAAGAAAAATGCTTTACTAAGTATATTATTATCAACAGCCTTTTGAATGAAAAAACAGGTAACCATTTCATCAAACAGAATCAACTAGTAAGAATTTTTTTCGCACACAAGGTAATTATGAATCTGTGACACAACAATACACTTGAGTATTAAAGAAGTTATACTTAGAGGTCCCTCTACACAGAGCATACCCAAGTGAAACATGGGACAGTGAAATAATCCTACGTGTATCTGTGCTAGAAATTAACCACAGTGTTAGACTACAATGCTCATCCCCTGCTGCACTCCTTGTGTAACCAAGTAGGCTGTTCTGATGGGAAGGCTATCTGAGAAGAGATCTATACCACACTGATGGGCAGGGGCGGTGAGGGATGGACAAGACTGGGCTGTACTACCTAGAGAAGCAGACCGGCTTTAATGGCTAAAAACACAGGGAAAGTATCAACTGACTCTTAGCTTTACACTGACTGAAAGTGACCTGTGTGTAGACATTAAGACAAAGGATCCAACAACGAATCAGACTGGTTTCTCAAGGTGCATATTTACAATAAATCCTGACTACGCTGTCAGAAGTGACGGTTTGGAGCAAGAAAAATAAAATGTGGGATTAGTGGTGCAGATGCTGAAAGGCCAGCGGCATGACGACGAGAACAACTCCAACAGATGCTGCTTTGTTCCCATTCCAACTACGCCTCCCTCCCAGGTAAAAGGCTGGAACACCCAAAAGCTTTTAGCAGCAGTGTGCACAGCTGTCAGCTGACAAACAACACAGAAAACACGTCACACTATGTTATCTGTGGTCAAGTTCTTCGGTGTTAGTCCAGGAACTCGAGACTTTATTTATCTTTGTTTATTTTCATTAAACACGTAAAGGTTAATAAACAGACATAGTCCAGAGTTAGTAGGTTGGTATTATAACATTTATTAAAATAATGCTATGGGTTAATAGAAACAGCAAAGAACCAAAGAATTAAAATGCAAGCTATGTAAAATCCCAACTAAAACCCAGAAGTGTCTAATGTATTCATTCATCAGCTAACTAAAAGCCCAAGAAAGACAAGACACCTGATATAATAAAGTACTGCAAAACAATTGGCAATTTTCAGTTATCAAAATTGTGGATTTTGCATTTTGTATCCTTTTCTCAATCAAGAAAAAATTCTTTTGAATGTTATATAACATACATATAAAACAAGATAGAAAAATACATTATAAACTTGTAACAATGGCTGTAAATACATTATCTTACATGTTTCTCATAGGCAATAGGTTGGTTATGGTACATACATAGCATGAAACTACTAAGATAATAAAGAATAGACAAAAAATACATGTCAGCTGTATGGTAACATACCAGCGACACTCCCATCTACCCACGCTAAAAAATTACATAATACTGTCAGGAAAAAAGTCTTAAAAACTACATACTTTAATAAGAAAAGAATTCAATAGTGATAATACTGAGAACAAAGGCATTCAGAGATTCCAAAAGTCATGCTTTTTCAGTTGACTCAAAACACTGCCAACTAAGTTTTCAAAAGTTTGTTCAGAGCCAGCATTACTCATAAACGTCACACGTCTATTGTTTTACACATTTGTGTTCTTCCCCATGAAAGACCTTTGATAAACACCTAAAATGTCCAGGTATAACACAGCTGAGATGAGCCTGGATCAAATACTGGTACTGTGTTTTGTTTTTGTTTTTTTAACTATCACCTCAAGTGTTCTGAGTGTTGCAAATTTATTCAACCAACCAAACAAAATAAAAATCAAAATGGCACAGCATATATTGTAAATAAATCAAAATCACCACGTGTGTAACAGAAAGACAAAGTAGTGGGACATTAAATCAAAGCTGGCTGAGTACAAAACAAGGACTGTCTATTGCATAGTAAATAAACTGAAAATGGTTCCAAGTGAGATACAGTAATGGCGAGGTCACCATGAAGGTGCCTGAGGAGCTTCCTGCTGACCTTGACTGTGAAGCCATGAAGGTATGGAAGGGGGCATGAGTTGATGAGCCAGGAATCCACTATCACTTGACATTTGCCACATCTGGTACTGAGCAGTTAATGATTCATCAACTCAAGTATTTAGATGCGGGCTTTGCATACAAACTGCTCACTACAAAACTGCTTCAACTTTGTGAGAAACTGAAGATAAAAAGAAGTGTAGCTGAGTGTTTATATGCACTGGGATGTTAGCTTTCCGCATTCCTTTAAAGTTAAAAAGGGGGGCAAAAAGGGATGTTTAGGAGCAGTTACTAAAGCCAGTAGAGAGGGACTGCACAAGGTATTTGGTATGACATGAAGTCTGATTAAATTAGGACTATATAACACTTTTTTCCACACAAAAAAAATTTCAAAGATTTGTTTTTGTGAAAAAAGCTTTGTTAGGCATATACAATCATCTCCAATCACTTAGAAAAAAATCCAATATATCCCTCTTCTCTAAATAAAATAAAGCTCTAATTTAATTTTGTCTGTAAACTGATGTTCAGATCTCACATAATTTTTTTCTAACCTCAGAATCCTCTGGGCTAACACTGAAATCGGTAATAACCAAAACTACTCAATTATGATTTGTAAAAGAATTACATTTTAAAATTTACCAGTCAGACATTAGAAAAGCTATCACATTTTTTTCACAGTATCAGATTTGGCAAACTGACATCAAGATATCGTGACACAAATCATATAATGTAGACCATCAACTCATCGGTTTCCCCTCTGAGGGAGGAGCTGATCTTGCAGGACACTTGACTAAATGACCATGAAGGAAAATAAGGCACTTTCTTTTTCTTTAGACTTATCCCAATACTTAAAAAATAAAAAACAAGACAAAAAGGCTCTTTTGGTCTTTTGTTTCTTGACAACCACCAGAAAAAATCATTTAATGAAATAAAGGGTTTCTTTGTTCTTTTTCTTTTTTATAACACTTGAAAGTATAAAATGCTACATTTCCAAAAATATATATATATATTTTCTGCACCAGCACCCTTGTATAGTAAAAGTATCTACTTTTTGTTCATTTGTTTCAATGCACTACTCTTTATCTACAATTTCATTACATGTATACAGAAAATAGGCAAGCATGGCTTTTACATCCTTAAAGATATTTTCTATACAGGGAGGTTTAAAAAATATTTGAACAGTTTGCCCAGTAATGTGACACATAATGCATGTACCTTGTATAATTTTAAGGTAGCATAAAATAAAGATTTGGAAATTTTAACTCAGATACTCAACTTTTTAAAAATAGTGTTGCAGTTTTGCTCTTTGCATTAGTTTTCAAAAGTCCTTATTAAGTTTTTCTCTCATGGCACACTTTGTTCTAATACTTCAAATTTTGGCAGGCAATATAAAAAAGGCTGCAATTTCTGCCCTTTGAGGGCACTGTAGTGACCAAACAAACAGCATGTCAAATTTTGAATACTTTTGAAGTCACTTCACCAATGACATCCCTGACCGAAGGTTCATGCATGATGCATTGTCACACAGTACATTCAGAGAGAGCTTTGACGTCGCTATGAGAAGAAAAAGATTCCTACAAGTCTCTCACAGTAACTGCCTCTGTCATTGAGTAGTTAGGGCCATCTGTCTCCCCTTCTCGAGAGGCCTTCTTACCGTTCGCTTGGGGTGGGGCATTGAATGATGGTCAGTGCTGTGGGATGAATCGGGCCTTATTGCTTTACTACTATTCAGTGCAGGTTCTAGAACCACTTTCACCCAAACGGGGGGAAAAGCTGAGTTGGAGGACAATTTCTTTGTCTTTTGTTTGGTTAGATGGTAAGACGAACGGACAAGTGCCTCAGCTCGCTGCACTGACGACAGGCAAGCAAAGGCGATTACCAGTTAACTGATCAGCAGGCAGGCATGGTCAGGTCATCATTGGGTGAAGAGTTCAGAGGTCAGAAGGTCATAGGTTAGTTGCCGGTGGCGGCTGGGTGGTTAGAAACAAAAAAAAAAACCAAAAAAACAAAACAAAAAAACAAAACAAAACAAAAAAAAAAAACAAAAAAAGAAAAGAAAAGATAGAGAAGAGATTAGTTTCAGCTAGTGACGGCTTAATGACAACATGAAAAACTAATCACAACTAATAAAAAAAGCATGTTGAATTCTGACAAACTGATTGACACCATCTACAGAATACAATAAAAATCATGACAATTTCATATCATGATTTGAACAAATAAGAAGAGCCCACTCCCACAAAAAAAATTTGAAAACAACCCAACTTGTTAACAGAAAAAATAGAAATAAAATACAGCTATCAACTAATAGTTAGTAGCAGTCAATGAAGGAAACTGGAAAACAATGATGAATAGGTTTGGTATAAAGAACTTTGAACAGTCAGTGCAGTTATGAGTATCTGACTGCTATTAAGCATTAGTATTCTCTCAGATGCAAGCAATAAAGCAACTATTAATGATGGATGTGATTATTAATAACTGATGATTAACAGAAATGAATCTAAAGAAATTTAATAAATTACTAAGAAAAATTTGGTTCAACATAAACTCTGGGCCAAACAAGGTTTCTTTTGTTCAATAAATGTTTATTGCTTTTTCAATTATTCTATTTACAAACAACATGGAATTTCTTGGCCTCATGATACAAAGCAATACTGTAGTCTAGCAGTGTAGGCAACATCATGGGAACCAGAAAAAGGCCAGGCCTCATGCCCCAGCCAACACTTTCCAGTTGAAAATACTAATTTACACATATAGAACACTTATAAAATGCAGTTGCATGTAAACACTGTAAAATCCTGCCATTTAAAACTCTATCCTCAAAGAACTCTAAGTACATAAAAATAGAAGAAATTTCTAACTGACACCAATAAGGCATTTAAACTACAAACAGCTTTCTTTATTCAATTTCAAAGCTAATACTCTGCAAATACAATAAAATCTGACATTTCATATACATTCCTGCTTTATATTTTTATATTTTAAAAGAAGCCACCTGTAAATACTATTTTCTTTTGCAAAGTAACAAAAAGAACAAAAAATTTAAAAAATTACAGTAAAACATAAAGTAGTTCTCAAGTGGAAAAGTTATCACTCCAAATGTCCTTGAGTAGCTCCTTCCTTAGTCAACCTGTCACATTCTACTTCACCAAACTTGGTCCACTTAACAGTAGTATGATTTTTAAGACTCATTCAACAGCTTAATTATTTCTCCTATATTCTGAGGTTTGACAGAATTTTCTGTACTGATGCCATTGTGACAAAGGCAGGAGAGATGTGAATGAAAGATTCTCAGTGCAAAGTTAAAGTCTATGCCACTTCATAAATCAAACCTAGCAGGTGTAATGTTCACAGGGTTTAAATGTTCTATATAGTAGACTCATTTACCTTTGTATGACAAAAATTTTTCTATACTTTATTAGGACAGCTTATAAATACTACAAAAATATTGTATCTTCAATACAATCAAATTTTCCCTGAATTTTTTAAAAAGGAAATGGAATTTTATTTAAAATTTTAAAATAAAAATGCTGCTCTCCAAAATTTAATTTGTGTAAGTAACAGTTTTTATCAAATCATTAATTGGATAATTTATGATTATGTTTGAGTGTGGAATATTTAACAAAGCAAATGATCATATCCAGTATATCTAGAATACATCCTCTGCTATGTCCTGGCCTCCTACAGTACACACAGGTATGTCAACTGTGCAAAATCACTTACAGTTCATTACAACTATAAGGTCAGTTGGTCTTTAAGTTTCAAAATGATTTTGAACTAAAAATGGAAGTGGGTTTGTTTTCAGTAAGCAACCACTCTAAATGCTCACACATAGTTACAAGGTTGCATCTCCTTGGACTGTGTCCTTACATCAAATGAATGCTAATAATAATCTTCTCTTTAAAATATTTTTTAAATAAAGAAAATAGAGAAAACAGTAGTATCCTAAAATAATGTAAGTCAAGGACTTAGGTCATCTCCTTCAGACCCAGTGAGTACATGTGGTGATAGTGAGCACAAGCGATCTAGTTCTGAAAAAACAGGGAGGAAGGAAGGGAAAGGGTACTTCGGTTTGCTGACATTGCATTTCAAACACAAATGTAACTAATCAAAATAAACACAGCTACAGATGAGCCATGTATGGAATGTGTTGTCATTTTCCAAACATAGTAAGATCTTGGTCTACTACTTTTAACTATCTGAAGGCTCTGGAGTACAAAGTGAGAAAGGGTTATTGTGTTAACAAAATTATAGAAATCTCTTAAGAGAAACATGGGGAAAGAAAATCTAAGAAGAAAAATTACTTCAAAATCAAAACACTCTGTAAGAGAATTACTTTAGACTTTAGCAGTATGAAACAGTTCAATTACTTATAAGACTGCCCACACCTAAAGTGACCTTCCCCCATCTCACTTTCTTATCTCTAGGTGACTGACAGAATGGCTGATATGCTCACACTTGGCACAATTGCATGAGTTATTATCATTATGGATGTTCCCCCAGACAAGGATCTAATATGCTTAATAGCCACTACAGAAAAATGTATATGTTACCTAAAATTTTCAGAACTCTTTCAGTATATATGATATTAAATAAATATCATCAATGTCTTTGGAAAGGCATTTTATTTCTAATACACAAAACAATTGTGTCCAGTATTTATGATGGGTATTCAAGGGTAACCATGTCAAGTGAGCTAGGTCCTTTTCTACTATGCTTGGGATTCCAACCTTGTAATTAAAAACAAGAACAAAACCACTGCACAAAAAAGTAAAAAACAATTCAATGTCAAAAAACCGAAACTACCATTCCTCAAATAAGCATAAATAATTTAAAAATGGGTCCAAGAGCATATATAGGGCAGAAGTTACAAATATGAAAATGAGAAAAATGAAGACTTGTTTTCCAGTCTTGGTTAGTCAAAAAGGATATCCAAACAGTCGGATCTCACATCCACAGAACACAGGAGTTTCCCTTCAGGTACTGTAGTTAGCAGCAAATGTCAGAAATCAAAGGATCCATTTTGGCAAGAAAATAGAGTAATAGGGAACTTGTTTCCTAGTTCATAAAAAGTATCCACCTACATGAAAATTATTTTCACAGTCCTGACTAATGATTTTATCTAAGTACTTGACATGTATGCCCTCATGTTTATACAGTGGCTCAATGTTTTATTATATAGAAAAATGGAAACTAAATCTTCAGTTTTCTCCAAAATTACACAAGAGCAAATTTTTTACTTCTCTCATGAAAACATAATCTGTTGTAGTACCAACCGAAATATTCAGAATTAAAGGGTAAGTTTTAGCAATAATTATTACTATAAATTGCTAAGGTAATATAAAAATTTAATAGCTCTTCAACTTGAGTAATTTGTGTTTTAACTGGGATAAATTTTAGGACATAGTAATAATAGAAGATTTAATAAATTAAAATATAAAGGGGAAGGATGAAAACCCAAACCAAAAAAAAAAAAAACAAACAAACAAAAAAAACCCCCAAAATCAAAACAAAACCAACCTTCAATCAATCAATTATTAAATTAATTTAGGGAAGGAAAAGAAATGGTATGCAGGTAAACAGTTATATTTTCCCATCAGGTGTGGTGTTGCAACCTTTATGGACACCCAGCACATTGCTTATAAACAAGAACTGCAGAACTAAACTAACCTCGGTCTGCGGTCACAATCCTTTGGTAAGGATGGACACGCATATCGTGCCTTCGAACTTTAGTAGCCACCGCACCTAGTTAAATTGCAATTACCAAGACAAAGTTAGAAAACATATATAAGGGAAACATCGACAGCAGGCTTATCAAAATGGATCTCAAATGTTCAATTACTACAAAAGCTTAAGAAACACGTTAAGGCACAGTAGTTTTAAAATTAATTGTATGTCTGTATATATGCATCTATCAACATTGCATTCCCTTCACACAGGCTGGCCTTCCACGCACTTCGTTTACAGTCCCCAAGTCACCATGTCCCGTGAGGTCTGTTAGAAGCAGATGTAGCTGACTTTACTAGTCACATATTCACTGAAGTGCCTTTCTTGCAGCAGGACGACTTAAATAATGCCACATTTAATACTGACAAGTATTTGCTAACCTTAACTCTCAGAGTTTATCACTTAAAAAAGGTTTAAAAAGCAACTCTTAAGCCTACAGATTGTGGTTTTAAACTTCCAGGTCAATAAGTATGAACTGCAATGAATTAGGTGATTAGTAAAGCAAACAGTACAGTACACTTAGCAGTCAGTATACTACTATACACTCCTTTTATGAATTACCGTTACTTTGCAGTATTACAGACTAATCCAAATTAATAACTTCATTTTACTTTGTATCTATGTGCAAAAGTGCAAGTAAGTCACTGACTGCTAGGCTAAGCTTTTCCCCGGAGGCTGCTGAGACTAAGCATTGGTTAAATTCAGATCTGATGAGGGTTCGGTTAAGACCGTTCTTGAATTCTTAGCCTTTCGTTGGGAAAGCCATACCTAAAGATAAAAGGAAGGGAATTAAACATTAGTCATCAATGAAGATTTGATGCTAATACCAATCTCCTCTCCTCACTACCACCAACACACATGTCTGCATCTGTTTTGAAGGGCACTGCTTATTTTAAAATAATGTGAGACTTGATACATAATCATGCATGTTATCTGTGTGCAAATTTACTCTAAATTGGGAATTTAAATTATTCCGGAGTTCTCCAGAGGGTCGATATCATTGTTTTACTGCTTAGGTGGCAAAGCAAGAAATAACAACAAACATAAGAGTATTTCTCTCACTTAGTACTTATTAAGAACCTTGAAAATGCTAATTGGGTATCTGCATAATTTGCACTTCATTTTGCCAGTTTAATATTCAAGTCTTCATAATTATAAATGTCCCAACAAAACCAAACAACATGTGGCTTTTACAATGAGAAATTTTACAGCAGTGCCTCTTGCTGTCTCTAAGCAGTAAACTGGTTGAGAAACTATTTTTCATTTTAGACATGCAGATTGCATAGAAATACAATTCTATCTGGCAAAACTAGGGAGCTCTTATACTAAGAGTCAGGAGCCCCAGAGTTGCAGAAAGCAAGGGTCCTGACTCCTCAGGGACAGACGCTGTGAGTGCAGCAGAGAGGAGTGCTGGGGAGGAGCATGCAGGCCGCAGGACAGAGGATTAATAGAAAGGAAAACTTACATAAGGTTACAGGTTATATGTTATTTTTAAAAAAATGCTTCAAGAAATGTGCAACACAACACAGCCTCTCAAAAACATTTTTTGTGGTATAATTCTGACTTATTATATACAATGATCCAGACAAAAAATTACAATAAAATGTATTTGTTTATAAAACAAAAGGCACCTACGTGCATGCATACACACAGATAACATACAGAGCATTGTAGCTTTCTTTAAATGAACAATGAATTTTCAAGTTTAAATCTTTATGTCCAAGTTCATTAAAGATTTTCCAATTAATATTAAGCTGGGGGGGAGCCCTTTAAGAGATCAAAGTTCTAAAAAGTCAATAGCAAGCACGCAGCACCAAAGGTAATACACAATTCAGGGGGGGGAAAGGTTCAAAATTCTGTCTGGTAAAACAGTGGGGTTGCACAGAAACAGGGTTTTTTTTTTTTGTTTTGTTTTGTTTTCCACATTGACTGGTCGTGTTATAACAGCTGCTGTATTCTAGTCCTTCATCCAGCAAGTCAATGGGCTGAAATATCAGGCATGACTGGCATTTCAATCCACTCTATAAAAAAAAGGCATCAATAATGTCTTTTTCAAGAATATTGCTTTTTGACCATGTAAACCCTGAGTTTCTATGACTTTAACTTTTGCCTCTAACATGATAAGTTGATGTGTGGTCATCTAGTTCATAGTTACTATTGAAACTATAAAGTATTGGTCATGTTAACAAGGACTTCAAAAGACAAAAGCTGAAAACCCTTAAAACTGCAACCTTTAAGTGATTATAAATATCTAAATACATATATAAATAACAGCAACCTAATAAAGTCTCAATATTATAGAACTTTAAAATTCAGCTATCAAGTAAACCTGTGAGACAAAACAAATCTAATTTTGGAAGGCAGAGTTGATGAGACCATTAGGACAAAGTGACAAGAATGGCCTAACTTCAGTCACCTAAGTAATAAAAGCATTGTCCAGTTGAGAATGTACATGGCAAGTATACCTATAGTGACTCTGAGATACTAAAGTAAATTCAAAACAAATTAAGGCATGTCTATTTAACAGGAGAACTCTTGTGAGGAACTAAACCAAAAGCATATTTAGGTTTCAACCTTTCCTAATCAAAACTTACATTGCCTCTCTAAACTCTGATAAACATCATTTCAAGATCTGGGGCACCACAAGTTAGAAATGCATTAACCACCTAGTACTGGACTCATACTTACCTAACACACCACTGGGTTCAATAGGGTACTCAAGGATTGATGTAGCTGGTGCCAACGTGTAGGGGTATTCATAGGGGGTGTAGATTAACCCAGCTTCAGGTCCCGGAGGGACTATTGCAGCAGTTGGGTGAGGAGTTCCGTTTGGCATGACAGCGGTCTGTATTTGTCTGATCAAAGGCATTATGGTAGGGCCAGCTGGCGTCGGTGTGCGCAGAGCAGCTGGTGGGAGGACAGGCGCAGGCCCAGTGATGATCCTCGGAGCAGCCTGGGCAGTTGCTGCAAGAGAAAAGGCAAGGGCTGCTACAGTAAGCAAAGAAATTTAGAAAGAAGTACAGGGACAGCAGTATAAAACATGGGGAAATGAGAGGGAAGTAGGAAAAAAGAAAGGAAAAAGCAGGAAAGAAGAAAAATAAAAGGAAATCATTAGTACATGCATTGATCACACGAAAATGCCAAAGCACACCAATCAAAAGCAATCAGCTTCCCCTTTACCAACATGATTAAAAATAATGTAAAATTTAAAAGCCCACTGTTAAAAAAAAAGAATACCATTAAAATGTTACACTGTTCATCCATTATAAAACATTTTGTGAGACTAAAAGTACATGCAAAACCAAACACACACCCCCATCCATTCAAATTAAAAGATGGAATGAAAAAATTTTAACTGGAGTCCACAGAAACAGGTATGGTTTATTTCCAAAGTGCAACTTTGGCTTCAATTTAAAGGAAACTCCCTGGATTAAGTCAGGTAAGTAAGCACCAAGTATATATGCTTCCAGCATGTCGGGAATTCTACACAAGAAAAAGAATACAGAGAACAGTCCTATCGCCTAATTCATGTCTATTAAGAGTAAATTATAGGCAACCATTACTAAACTCATTGGGTTGCCTATCTTTGGGAATTTTGACTATAATTTTAAACTTCAATTTCTTTAAAAAAAGTCAGTATTCTAAATATGATATGTTCATATAAATGATATATAAACCTTATGTTGTCTCAAACTATACATTTTACTAAACACTATTCTCTCAGATAGCTTATAAAATTGTGTCACACATAATCATGGAAGGGAGAACACAGGCTGGATGAAAACAGTTCTCCCTCACTGATCTCTGTGAACTCACCGAGGAACGTAAACAGCAAAACAAGCAAAGAAACAAAACCTGCGTGCAAACAAGCAAGCAAGGGGAAAGGAAACATCAACAGCAGGGCCATTCCATTTAGACGCTTTAAATCAGCTCTTTTTAAAGGGATTCAAAATACTGTCTTTTGCATAATGTAACAAGTTTAAAGTCTTAACTAGATAGGACATTTCTTGAACCCCTTCACCAGAGTAGTAAATTTACAACCCCCAACTTGACATGCTGGCATAAAACTGAGCTGGCCATTACCTACAGAAGCATTAAAAAAAGGGGGGGGGGGTGGCGGCTCTTCATCAGAATGTAAATGTTATCATTACTTCAACTCTAACTGGTTTTACGCTGCGGTACCAAAAGGAAACGGGCTTGTAGACAAAACAGCTGTAACCCAACCCCAGGCTCATTCTTACGTGATTTAATGTTGGCATCTCTGTAGGTGCCATTCAGAATTGCAAGCTCCATCAGTTGCATCTTCTTCAGGCTGTCTTCTCCTTCAGCCTACACATGAGAAACAAGAGCAGAAAGTATTTGAGAGTGTACATACATCACAACCTAAAAACTACATACTAAATGACTCTTAGAACTACAAAGTGAACTAACAATAATCACTCAACTTCTAAATGCTTATTTCTGTTTCCTTATGTTCCTGGTTTCTCTCAATGCACCTACCAAATGCTATCAATTCTATCTTTGACACTCTACCTTTAGGATCATCATAAAATTGACTACCTACATAGGATATATTTACAAGTGAAAAGGGCACTAAGACTAACTAGACTACATAGACAGAAACCAGGATGGCTATACTACTTACCATGGTTTCACCCCCTTCCAATAGCCAATACCACTCCTGGTAAGTCATTACTGTTATACTATCCAAACTGTCAGTGGTGCCTGCTGTTCAATACACACAAGATCTGAATACCCAGTCTAGATCCAAGGGCCAGATACACTTCCCCAAATGCAGCTTCTATCTTAATGTTTTGTACTATTCTCATATCTTAAACCCTACTGATCTCTTACTATCAGAACAAAGATGTTAAACCTTCCTCAAACTACCACCCCATGGTGAACTTACAGAGCAATAGACCAGACTAACTCTGTTAACGTCTTAGTGTTTATTTCCACTTGCCTATTTGCAAATACTCTTATGTGTTCCTGTGTGCTTTTCTTTCCACGCCCTACTTATACACAGCAACTCCAACAAAAACAATACTTTCTCCAGGAGCCATCTCTTCATTCTGTGATTTCAGTCTTCAATTACAGCTTGTTAAAGTTAATACTCAAAGAGTAAGCATCATTAGAATAGTCTTGATTTTGTTATTTATCACTACCTAATCCCTATGTGCTGATCCCAAAAATTATTTGTTGGAATTAATTTCTCTTTGTTTTGAGACAGGGTCTTACTACATGGCCCTGTCTGTCCTAGAACTAATAGGTTGGCCTCAAACTCAAGAGTTCCTTCTGCCTGCCTCCTTATTAAATGATTAGTATGAGAAACCTAACTTTACTGACAAAGCTCAAAGGTCTGAGTTCTACAGGACAAATTTTAACTAGCAAAAGCCAAGCAGAAATGTAGGAAAAAAGACTAGAACGTTTGTTCTTTAAAGATTATGGCATAAATTGTCCTCGCCTACCCCACTTTAGTGCAAGTCCATTTGGAACATGGGAGGAGTATTACAAAGACATACGCAAGTTTCTTGGTTTTCTATTTCTGTTACAACTGAAATGATAAGATCTTTAGAGCAGGGATTGATATACAGTAATTTGTAGTAAATAGAATTGCTGAGTGGGTATTTAATAAGTGAAACAGAAGTAAAGATAACATGTGATGGGCCACTGACAACTTTAAAACAGTCTCTTGCAGTAAAAGAAGAGACTGGCATATTTGTTGGATTATTATTACTTGATCCGCATAAATTTGTATAAAGATGAGTAAAATAAACGAAGAAGTAAAAATCTATTATGATCAAAGTTCCTAAATCTGTTCATTAAAAATATTAATTTATCAACAATTGGCTCAAATTTAATCTATGTAACTAACAATGTATATAAAAACTTTAAAAAAGAAAATAAAAGAAGCAACAGGCCCACTTCCAGCCACAGTGAAAAAGATGTTGTTCAAGTTTGAAAATATCAGCAAGGAGCAAATTTACCACTATCAAAAACATAAAAAGGAAGAAACTGTGCATGAAGATAACAAGTGCTTAGAAACACATTTGAGATGGACTGATTATTATTATTATTATGAAGTGATTTATGTCGACTGTGGAAATAATTCCAAAGAGAAAGATAGTAGAAGGAATGCATGTTCCCACCAACATGTGGCCATGTCATTTGTAGGTCCCAGAATACTAAAAACTGGGTGAAGACCACCAGGGTGGGTAAGTAGCAAAACCCAAAGGAGCAGGGTTGCCTACATAATGATGGTGTAACAACAACTTATGTCGTGATCACTGTGGAAGGCTGAACGTGCCTTGATCACCCCCAAAGGAGTTATGTGGCAGAATCATAATCTAAACCTCAAGTTGTTATATTCCAGAATGAGTTTTATTATTTTCACATCCTTACAACCTATCACACTCTTTATCTGAAGAGAGCTGGATGATAGGGTTATGGCCTCACAAGACAATTAAATTCATTACATAATATCCTCACATGAAACGGGTTGCTTCAACTTTATTGCTCCATTTGACAGAAATTTATCATATTTACTTGCCTAAACTTCTTTTTCAAATGTAAATTCAGGTAAGAAGACTTGCTGGTAATGCTATGGTTTATGCATTTCAGAGAATGATACCACATGCAATCTCAGCGGTCACGTTTTCTTAGTAAGGTGTTTATGATACTCATCCATGTTGTTTGTAGCAGCAGACTGCTTGAATGGCTAAGTAGTACTTTGTTTTGCTTGCTTCTAGTTTGAGGATACACTATGAATATAGCCACTCTGAAAATTCTCACACAGGCATCATTGTGAATCTAAATTTTGACTTAATTCTGGATAAGTGTCTATGAGTGGTATTGCTGAGTCACAGAACAGATTAATAATGAGAAAAAATATAAATATCAGAACACTATGAACAGCAGAATTGTCTTTGAAGTATGAACGTTCAAAAATATAACACTTGCTTAGAACTCACAGCATCAGAAGAGTCTTGACATTACAGAGACTTTTAGATTTACAAAAAGATAGCATACCACGGATGACACAGTATTTCTATTGGTGTCTGGGGGAATATCTCTTACAATAATCCTATCTGTGACACACACACACACACACACACACACACACGTATAATGCAATGAGATTTAAGTATGTCATCAGCTATGTTTAACAAGCTATGTCAAAGTAACAAACAGGTCAAATACCACTGAAACTAAAAGGGTTTTAACATAGTAAAGTACAGAAAATTAAGTGCTATTTCACTTTATTGGAAGAGAAGAAAATCATGTTTACTTATTAATAATGCAGTTGATTAAAACAGGGATGAAGGCCAGCAAGATTGCTCAAGAGGTAAGGGTACTTGCTGTCAAGCCTGACAACCTGAGCTCAATCCTAGGATCCACATGGTAAAAAGAGAGCTAACTCATACAGCCTCATTCCCAATGCTTTCTTCAATCATAATCAAGTTCAAAGCCCTTAGAACAGACTATGTTTTTCAGCTTCAGAACTGAACAGGCTCCTGTTTAAAGCATCTCACAGCTGTCGTCTTTCAATAGCCCTGACCCTGTACTATTTTCTACAGTGCATACTCATCTGATGACTCTCACAATCACATCACTTTCAGAAACGTATGCTGGTTTTTAGTGAGAATCAATTATACATAGCCACATGCTGTCATTCCTTTTCCATTTTTACTTTGCTGTAATTGGTATTTTCTAAACAACTACTCTTCCCCATACCTGTGGGGGGGGGGGGAGACAGAGAGGAAGAGAGAGAGACAGAGAGAGAGAGAGAGAGAGAGACAGAGAGAGAGAGAGAGACAGAGAGACAGAGAGAGACAGAGACAGAGACAGACAGAGAGAGAGAGAGAGACAGAGAGAGAAGACAGGAAAGGAAGGAGGGACTAAAAATAAAAGATGACCAAATAAATGAGTAGAGAAAGAGACCACATTTTATAAGAATTTTTTTCCATTTTCCATTTTGAAAATACAATTATGCAATCCTTACCCCTCCTTAGTTTCAAACTCTTGATCTCTTTTTAGGTTACAAGGATTTTAATCACAACACTTTGATTTGCTCTGCTATGTCCACTCTTTTGAGTTCCCAGAGGATAAACAAGTAACTTATCAGAGGCTTCAGTTCCAACTCTGCATAGAGCTTTCTTAGAATCTAAGATCTAATAATAGTAAAATGTCTTATATTTCATCTTCTAGCTAGGATTATAGCGGCTTCCAAATCTATATTGGATTATGGATGGTTCTGTTCTCCTTTACTTCTTAAGAGCTCTTTAACCAATTCCTTTGTAAGTTCTCTGTTGATATAATACCTACTATGGTTCATGTTTTCTTGACTGACACAGAAGTCAAGTGGTTCTCCAGTACCACTCTACAGAACCTGAATTTCCTAGGTTGGCATACGTGACCATGTTTAACATCCTTTCTTCTTATACAACCAACCTCATTCTGTGACCGAGGTTTACATAAATTTTGTCAGCTATGTTCCATTATTTCTTCTAAATTATTTATAAGTTTACTTGATTTCAATTTCCTTCCTTTTCCAGTCTGGTTTTTATTCTTCTATACAGAACAGACCCGCCAAACTTTAAAAAAAAACTTAACTGACTTAAACATATGTTTTAAAAAGGGGTTAAGTGTATGTGCAGCCCACCCATAAAGATCAATGGTGAAACTACAAATTCATCCTAATGGCTTCTGTAAGACCCAGGGGTCTTCACTTCCTTCTTCCTTTCACACAGCTCCTTCCCAAGTCTTCTGGCAACATACACCAAGATGCAGTTGCTGTTAACTCTAACAGCAAAGGAGAGAGGTCACAAATGGAGCACCTGAGAAACTCCCAACATCCTGATTGAAATCCAACAGTGAAGAGCTGAATCAAAGCCTGAAGAATCTCTCCTGTGTGCATTCAACTAGGTCATGTCTTTATTTGTGCACAAAGCCCTCAGTTCAACTGTTCCACTAACAAATTCATGAGTCAAAGTGTTAGACTTATGTTAAGAAAAAAATTTCGGCTATCTTCTTCTAGTCCCCTCTAAACTAACTGACATATTCTACTTAAATGCAATTCCTGGCTGGCTTAGTGCCAACAACATATCAGCAAGTTATGGTACAAAAAGTACAAAGTACACTTATCTAACCAGAAAACACTCAAGCCAACATGTAAATAATGCTACATCCATTAGGTGTGCCCAACCTGCAGTCCACTGGTCCCATCACATAACAACAGCTGTGAACGAGACTCAACAGAAACTGTAAAGTGAGTACAAGATGGGGGGGGGGGGACACACACATCTTTTTATCTTGACTACATGAACTGA